AACAGATCAACAAATAACTATTACAGATAGGAGATAGATAACTATTCATATAATGAAATATCATATAGCCATGAAAATGAATGAACTACAGTAACACACAGCAACATGGATGAATCTCACGAACACAATATGGAGAAGCAGCAGCAAGACACAAAAGAACATATGCAGTGTGATCCCATTCATATGAAGATCAAAAACAGGAAAAAAATGAGATTACAGTATTTAGGGATACTAAATATTGTATCCCTAAATACAGCAAACACAGAAAGCTATAAAGAAAAGCAAAGAAATGATTACCACAAAAGTTACAAAAATGATTACTTTTAGGGAGAGAGAAGAAGGGTTGGTTTGTTTGTTTAATTAGAAACAGGGTCTCACTCAGTTGCCCAGACTGGAGTGCAGTGGCACCATCATGACTCACTGCAACACTGAACTCCTGGGCTCAAGTGATCCTCCCAACTTGGCCTCTCAAAGTGCTGGGATTATAGGTGTGAGCCACTGCACCAAGTTGAGAGGAGGGTTTTGATGGGGAAGGGCATTCCAGGGATTTACAGGGCACTAGTAATGTTCTGTTTCCTGATCTGGGTCATAGTTACACTTGGTTGTTCTCTTTATAATAATTCATTAAACTGTACTGTTAAATGGTTTTCAGTTTTCTATATGTATGTTATAGTTTGGTTTTTGTTTTTGTTTTTGTTTTTTTCTGAGACAGAGTCTTGCTCTGTCACCCAGGCTGGAGTGCAGGGGCCCAATCTCAGCTCACTGCAACCTCGGCCTCCCTGGTTCAAGCAATTCTCCTGCCTCAGCCTCCTGAGTAGCTGGGATTACAGGTGTCCATCACCATGCCCAGCTAATTTTTGTATTTTTAGTAGAGACAGGGGTTTCACCATGTTGGCCAGGTTGGTCTGGAACTGCTGGCCTCAAGTGATCTACTTACCTCAACCTCCCAAAGTGCTGGGATTATAGATGTGAGCCACTGTGCCTGGTCTATATGCATATTTCTTGATAAAAAGTGAAATAAATGTACATGCCGAAGGAGACAGAAATACCATCCTCATAGATGAGGGACAAGAAAAAATATAGGTATCTTATAAAATATTTCTGTCTTTGTTTCATTTTGGATAAGTTGAAAGATGCAAGGTTAGTAACCATTTTTTACATAAGAGAGAATGAAGTAGCACTAGGTAGGATACTATTAAAGACTTCTAGACAGAATTTTCCAAGCCATCTAACATTCTCATCTTCTGAGTATTTCTTGAATGCAGAAATTAAGCAACGTGACGTATGAATTTTGACCTGGTGTAATTCCAATATTAATGCACAACCATTGTGAGAAAGTGGAGAGGGACTAACTTAAAACATATGTAGACAAATTAGTGTTCATACTTTTGCGAAAGGAATGGAATTCTCATTGTTCTCTTGGGGATCAATTAGTTTGACAAGAATAATTTTTTTTATAATATTGAGTTTATAAGAGGGAAATGGGTCAAGATGGCTGCCTCTATTGGACTGGGCCTCACAAAATTCTTCTGCCAGTAGTTTTCTTCAGATCTGATTATTTGGCAGGTAAAGAAACTGGCTTTTGCTACTTTACCCAAAGTTATCAGATCTGGGGGACTGCTGGCAGCGGTTTCTGAGGCTACTGACATTTCCTGTAGCCCCTGCTTTGCTGCCCATCACCTGGAGAAAGGCGAGCCTGTGCTGGCCACAGCCTCTCTGGTTCCCAGGCTCCGCGTAGGTCACGTGGACCCTACTGCTCATGGTTGTCATGACAGCCTGCTCCAACAACATATTCATATTTTCATGGCGCAAGTGAAAAGAAAGGGCCCAGCTCAAACCTCATCATTTTCCCGGATGGCAATATCCCCAGAAACTCCAAGAGGGATTTCACTTTCCATAGAGAATAGGAAGGCCTGACCTGAAGTGACTGGATTTGGTCAGTTCCCAAAACAGGATGAGGACCGCAGGGATTGTGTCTGTTGATGGAATTACGCACTTGGCTTCATTATTTGTTTCCAAAATACAGATTTTATAAAAGTCATTTTAAGTGTTAAAAAAAAAAAACCCCTTCAGATTGTACATTTGAGAAGTGAAGTTGGAAAAGGACTCTTGATTCTGTGTGAATGTGTGAGGTTCAGATGTTATGCTTTCATAAAATAACTTGTGTTTGAAGGCTGGACACTTCCTCCTCACAGATGTCTCACTTAGTGATTTTGTTACCTATTTTGGTGGCTTCAGCTGTCTCTCCAGAAATGAGCACAAGGAGCCCCTAAGGAGACACAGATACGGGATATTAAAGGAACGTGAACTATGCCAGGGAGTTACAGGAGTGGAGGTAAGCCTTTCTGTTGCATGGAGCAGAGCTGCTTTCTGAGGAGAGGGAATCTGACCCCCAGCCAAAACCACTTCTCTGGTGAAAACTCCGACGGTCTCAGGACAGATGCCTTGGACATCATCTCTAGGAGAGGGCAGACAAGGCCTCACAAACTTGTCCCAGTAACACCGTTAGGACCTCTACTCTGAAAGACCACCAAGTAGGGCTCAGCCAGGACCTGAACTGAGAGAAAAGTTCCTCCAACAAAGGAAAAACTTTCTTCAGAGACAATTGAACCATGGCTAATGGGTATAGCATTCAGACTCAGATACCCTATCTTTATAGTGGCTGTGGTAGCTTGATTTGGTACTTTTCTTTCACTTTTTCTTTCTTTGTCTACAGGTAACAGAACACAATGCAGCTGGAGAAATTAGAGCAAAGGGTTCCCCATCTTTCCATGGGACTTACCTTTCCCTACACTCACTCTTCCACAATGGGTTCCTCTGTCTTCTGACAGGGCAGGAGAAGCTTTGCAAGGCTGGGGACTGTCACTTAGCTCCATTTCTTTGTTTCTTTGCTTCATTCTGTGCCCCTGCTACTAGCTGATCTTTTCGTTGACTCTCTGTTGGGTTATTTACACTGTCAACCAGGGTCATTTACACTGTCCTAATATCAGTTTCTATAGTATTTTCTATGTCACTGGAACCTTTGCCTTCCCTGGGCACTTGACGTGTGTCCTCACCTAGAGTTTTATAGGTTTATTATAAAGGATATTACAAAGGATACAGAAGAAGAGGGTATGGAGGGCAAGGTATAGGGGAAGGCGGCCTGGAGGTTCTGTGCCCTCCTGGGTACGCCACCCTGAAGGAACCTCCTTCTGGTCAGCTATCTGGTAGTTCCTATACTTGACAGTTTTCTATAGCAACGTTTGCTGACACGTGCGCAGGCCTCATACCTTGCTAGCTTGAAAATTTTAGACTGATGTTTACATCAGACTTGGAAAATTTGCCAAACTTTTAATTTTTCCCCTGCTGTCTTCCGGTTTCACAAGTTTACTCCATTTCTAGACATGGCTGTGGGAGGAGCAAAAATCAGATTTAATGTTCCTGGAACCCTACATCACATCCTTTGGGGGGACTTTAGTACCAGGCTATTCCAGAAAACTTTACACATTAGTGGACATGTGAAACCAAACCAGGGAGATGCAGCGTATTCTGTAGAGTAATTAATGGTTCCACATGGCCTTGACTTCTTTGAGGTACCATATCAATTTTTTTTTTTTTTTGAGGTAGAGTCTTGCTGTGTCGCCTAGGCTGAAGCACAGTGCCGCAATCTCAGCTCACTGCATCTTCTGCCTCGTGTTCAAGTGGTTCTCCTGCCTCAGCCTCCTGAGTAGCTGGGACTATGGGAGCCTGCCACCATGCCCAGCTAATTTTTGTATTTTTAGTAGAGACGGTATTTCACTATATTGGCCAGGCTGGTTTCGAACTCCTGATCTCATGATCTGCCTGCCTCAGCCTCCCAAAGTGCTGGGATTACAGGCACGAGGCACAATGCTCAGCCCACATCAATGTTTTAAAGTAATTTGTATTTAAAGTTCTAATTACTAGGCATTTTATTTATGTATTTATTTTTGAGAGTCTTGCTTTGTTGCCCAGACTGGAGTGCAGTGGCACGATCTTGGCTCACTGCAACATCTGCCTCCCGGGTTGAAGCGATTCTCCGGCCTCAGCCTCCCAAGTAGCTGGGACTACAGAAGCCTGCCACCACACCCAGCTAATTTTTGCATTTTTAGTAGAGATGGGGTTTCACTATATTGGCCAGGCTGGTCTCAAACTCCTGATCTCATGATCTACCCGCCTCAGCCTCCCAAAGTGCTGGGATTACAGGTATGAGTCACCATGCCCAGCTCGCATTTTAAATAGATTTTCTAACAAGTGGACATAGATACATGCTCACTTCACAAGTTTTTGCAAGATGAAAAATGGAGTAGATGGACCACTTAAAAAACTCAGTGCCATTTGCTGGAGGCCAGTCAGCCAGAAGCATTGTGTTAATTCTGATTTTGTCTTCCTTTCCTCTAGAGAGATTGGTTGAAATTTACAATAGGAGTTTTTACATTTACATTAAAAATGTAGTCACAACTGTCATTCTTACTGCTGGGTTTCAAAAAAAATTGAGTACTTTGTTTCTAACTTCCTTCAATTGACAAACAATAACATATAAAGTGTTTAGCCTGGTCCCTGTGTCTTCACGGACATAAAATTTAATTGGGAAGAAAAACAAAGAAGTATTTTGATTTCAAATCTACTCAGTTGTTTTTTATAGACTCTTGTTCCTTTCTTCTGTTTTCAAACTTCCTTTTTATTTGTTTAAACCTTTAAGCACACTTATTTTCTGTGTCACCTTATTCTCATACCCAAGCCTTTGTGTATCTGACCTTACAGTTTTTCTGTCTACTCTTGGAACCTTGCTTATTATATGTTTGTGTTTTTGATTATGGTTATGGAAATTCTTTGGGGCCTAGGTTCAAGATAGTCTTCCAAGAGGATGTCTTTCCTTCTGCCAGTTGTTAAAAGTACCACAAACTGGGGCTCATTAAGTTTTTAAAATAATTCCATGGTATCATGAATTTGGGTCATAATACAATATATGGACCACACTATATGTGAGATGGACACATTAATTCTCAAGGAAGAGTATTTTTTATTCTGGTTTATTCAGGACTTTGATCAAGACAGACGATTTTTCCTGGGATCCTCTTCTCACATTCACCTTTACTTTGGCCCTTTGGACTCCCAGTTTTCTGGGGGAGAGTCTTCTTATTCTCCTGATCTTGGACAAGCCTGAGGATTTATCTTCTGTGTCCCAGATCCTGCACACCTGTCAAAGTAGAAGCTCAAATGTTGTTTGTCAGATTTTCTAGGAGTGTGCCCACTTCCCATTTTACTTTTGTTTTTGGTCTCTGTGAGTTTCGTGCTTTTTTGCCAGCTCAATAAAATCCATTAAAAATTATTTTTTAAAAATCTTATCCAGCTTTAGTTTTCATTGGGAAGTTTGTTCTGGTTATTTGCTCCATTTTGTTAAATTGAAACACTTTAAAAACAAGATTAGATAATGTATAATCAGTTGCTAAGCAGAGTCGAGGTAAAGTTTCTCCAGTGCTTCTGTTTCCTTTACTTTCTGTTCAGAACAAATCTTCCACTCAGAATGCAAGACAGTGCCTGGAGTGGAGTAGGGGCAATGGTGTGCTGGCAGACTGGCCCTCTGAAAGAAGAAAAGGAAAGAAGAAAGAAAGAAAGAAAGAAAGAGAGAAAGAAAGAGAGAGAGAGAGAGAGAAAAAGAAAGAAAGAAAAAGAAAGAAAGAAAGAAAGAAAGAAAGAAAGAAAGAAAGAAAGAAAGAAGAAAGCAAGCCTTGATGGTTAGCATTTGCCAATTTCTGTGGTATAAATATTCCCATAATAGTCCATTTCAAACTACCAAGGGATGGGCACAGTTATCTCTCCTGAACTGGAGTGGGTCAATTCCACCATGGAGGTAGAAGATACAAATCAAGTGGCTAAGTCACCCAGAGATCAGTGGGGACAGCCTGATGACAAAGAGGTGAACTAACTAGAGCACATCCCAGCTGTTGCCCTGTGGATATAATGCCAGTGTTACTATATCTTCCAATTTCTCAACAAGACCTAGAAATCCAGATTTTAGGTGAAATCTCTTCCTTTTAAGTGTTGGCAACAGACTAAGAAAATTTTTTTAAGAGGTGGAGTTTTTCTTTGTCACCCAAGCTGGAGTGCAGTGGCACAATCATATTTTACTGCAGCCCTGAATTTCTGGGCTCAAATGATCCTCCCATCTCAGCCTCCCAAGCACCTGGGATGATAGGTGCATGCCACCATACCTAGCTAATTTTTAAAGATTTTAGATATGGGGGTCTTGTTATGTTGCTCAGGCTGGTCTTGAATTCCTGACCTCAAGAGGTAAAACATTTAAAAACCACCAGAGAGAGCCAAAACTAACCCTATTGGGGCAGATTTGGCCAGATAACCACTAGCTTTAGACAGGCTGGGGAAGTGCCTCAGTTATATTTGCTTATCTGGTTCCAGCCCCTTTTCTCTAGGCCATAAGGCTCACATAAAGCCCCTTTTCTTTAGGCCCGTTTTTGGAGAGGCAGTGCAGTGTTGGGGAGGAGGAGACTATGCCATAGATTCAGAATCCTCAGTTACAATCCTGGGCCTGCCACTCACCGTGTGACCTGAGGCAAATCCTGGTAAAATGAGTGGGATGGTCCCTGCTGGGGTAGGTTGTTCTAGAAATAAACCAAGATGTTTTGTGTATGGAAGCTGCCCCCTCTGTGTAGTCAGTTAATAGCTCTGTCCTCATTCTAAGCAGGAACCAGAGTCACAGCTGAAGGCAAACACTGGCATATGCAGCAGAGAAACCTCTGTCTCAGGGTTCTCATCCTTCACTGCCTTAGATTCACCTGGAAAACGTTAAAAAACAAAACAAAACAAAACAATGCCAGACCTTACCCTCAGAAATTCTAATTCAGTTGGTCCAAGGTGGAGCCTGGACATGACTATTTTTAAAGCACCCCCTTCTATTCTAATACTAAGTGCTTTATATTCATAATTTCAATTATCCCAATCCTTCCAACAATCTTAGAAGGTATTCTCATTTTAAGGATGAGGACCTAAGGCTCCATGGTTAAGTGATATCCAAGGTCACATGGCTGCTAAATGGGGAATCAGACTTAACCTCAGAGCCTGAATTCTTAACCCCTATGCCACTTAGCACTATTGTACATATCTCACCTGATCTTTGTAAGGTCCAAGCACTGCAAATAAAGTGCTTAGTTCAGGACCTGCAACTTATTGACAAATAAAGGTTGGGTAATGACAAATATTACCTCCTATTACCAAAACAGAGCATTCTTCCCAATTTCTCTTCTATCCAATTCCATTTCAGGTAAATATTCACTCTTTTAGAACCCCTGCTTTTTTTTTTTTTAAACCCTGATAGCATACATACTTGCCCTCCAAATGTACCACAGACAGTCATTGTAACAACCTAGGGGACGCTTAGCCAGGTTTGTCATGCCTGAGGAAAGAGGAAGAGAGAGGACAGGAGCTGCAGATACTTGTGGAGAGCACGGTGATGAAACCTGTCTGGAATGATGCCCCAAAGGGCGAGCCACAGCTCACAGCTCTTTGGTACACAGTGTTCAATAAACATGTGCTGCATGAGAGTAGTTTGCTGAGGAGAGGGGAAGCAGAGAAAGGGACTAATGAGGGTGTCAGACATAGACTAGGGAGTGGATTTAGGCCTGAATATTCAGGGATATTTCTTCTTTCTTTCCAGATGGATCATATATTTGTTAGGAACCTCATCCTACTGGTTTCCTGTCTTCATGAGATGGACACAGAAGCCAACCCAAGAGGAAAATGCACACTTGCTGACGGGCAGTAGGCTCAGTTCCTGGAATGTGGGCTCTGGGGTCAGAGGGAGGCTCAAGATGGCCTAGACACAAGGAGAACCAGGCTAGGACACAGGTGCTGAGTGGTGTCCCCTCAGAGGGCAAGCCCTGGCATCTACTACAATTCCCCTCACAATTAGGTGATTGAAATGGGGAATTTACTGAGCTTACTTAGGTAAGCATCTTAAATTTTGTCCCTCCAGTGACTGGATTTGCAAAATACAGTGAATGATCACCAACTTAAATTATTAATAGAAATAATAGGGTATAAAAATTGGTCAAAAAGAGCTGGGAAAAGTTTTGACCAAAAATTCTACCTCGAAGGTAATGCTGGCATTTCCTCTCAATTAACGGTCATAACTTATGGTAGGAAGAAATGGAGAAGGAACAAGGAGGCCTATAAGAGGAAGACAAAGGTAGAGGCAATTTGTGGCTGAAAGAGAACAATCTCTGAGATTCAATCTCTGAGTTCTCAAAGCTTTGTCCATATGCATGAATTACAAGTGTTAAGGTGCACATGACAAAGCTGCAAGTTTATAGTCACTTCCATCTGAAGTTTTTTGATGTTCAATTCATTTGAAACTTACCCAACACTCTACATATGATCTCTTCTATTTGTCTTCTACTGATTTTTTTTCCTTTGTAGGGGGGAGCAGAGGACAGGGCCTCACTCTGTCACCCATGCTGGAGTGCAGTGGTACAATCATGGCTCATTGCAGCCTTGACTTCCTGGGATCAAGCAATCCATCCTTACAGCTCAGCCTCCCATAGCTGAGACTTGTATTTTTTGTAGACACCTGGGTTTCATCATGTTGTCTAGGCTGGTCTTGAACTCCTGGGCTCAAGGGATCCTCTTGCCTAGGCCTCCCAAAGTGCTGGGATTACAGGTATGAGCCACTGCGCCCGGACTTCTACCACTTTCAAACTTGCAATATTTAACTTTCTAACATGTCTTATACCTGCAAGTACGCATGTCTTAAACCCCCAAGCAAGCTCTTTGAGGGAAATGGCTTTATCATGTGCCTGACCCCTATTCCTCACCGTGAAGCTCACAAGGCTGTTAATCCACTAAATTTTTGACTCTTCAACTCTCTTGGAATGCCACTGGGATATGCGTTCTGTAAATGGACACTCAACATGTTTATAGTGAAAATCTAATGGCTGAGAGCCCAGCCACTGTAAACACATTCTTTCTACTTTTGCAGGTCTGCAATCTAATGACAAGCTTGCTTAGATTTAGAGAAGAAAACGTGTGGATTTCTTCTACAGTGTTGTAAGTATTAAAAGCCAGCAACGGAAAATTCTTATAATTTTATGCTGCATCACGATGCGCGGCCCCGGGTGATGTAGCTCCCAGTCCTTCGTGCAAAGCTAAATACCAGCATTTAACTACCACCATCCCCAACCTGCACCCCAAGCACTGACACTTGAAGCCGAGTTGTGGTCGTACATCACCACACTCCCAGTATGTAAACCATGCAAACTCGGAGCTTCTCTGCAGGACAGGCCTACAAGGAGAGGAGAGGTGCCTCAGGAGGAGCAACCGCAGTAAGCAGTCAGAGACCTCTTCCTCAGACTTCCCCTTCCAAGGACAACCCGAAATAGCAGAAGCGCATTTGTACGTGGGCAGAGCCACATGCCCACGAGACAGGCACATGTGAACTGGGGGCATTCGGTACAAGGGAGCGAGGACACAGGGCACGTAGGGTGCTGAGGGTCCACCTCGCGGCCAAAGTATGTGTGTCAGTGAGTATGTGCGCGTGTGAGATCTACTCCAGAACCCGTGGCCGAGGACTGGCGCGGCCTCCTGGGCGAAGTCAAGCAGAAGGCTTTGTTCACTGAATGCGAATGCCGGAGCCGAGCTGGGAGCAAAGACGGCGGCGGGAAACCATCGTCTCCGTGCGGCTCCGGCAGCACGCGAAACTCTCAATCAGCTTCTCTGGCCCGAGCCGCCGGCTACACCAGCTGCGCGCAGTGGGGACAGCCCGGCTGCCTCGCGAGTACCGCCCGGAGAGGCCGCGCCGCGGGGCCCGCCGCGTCCCCCAGCCAGGGCGGGCGGCCACACGCGCCCGCCACTCGGCCGTGCAGGCAGCGCCACATTCCATTTAAAAATAACACCCACGTGCGCTGGTAAACAAGCGCGCGCGGCTCCTCCGGCCGCGCGCCCGGGCCCAGCGCGTGCGGCGCGCGCCCGCCCTCCTCCTGCACGTGTCTGCCGGCGCCGCTCAGTCCCCGCCCCCTTGGCGGGTCGCGCCCCGCCTCCGAGACCCCAACCCCGCCGCTCTGGGCCCTAGAGCCCCCTGCCAGCAGGCGCGCCCAGCCGAGTGCGTGGCAACTTTCCGCCCCGACGCCTCCTTGCCCCTGGTGTACCCACCGCCCCAGGTCGGCTCTCTTCCTCCGTTCCTCCCGTCCGCTGTCCTCTCGCATTCCCCCCCCCCCGGAACCCTCCCACCGTCAGCGCGCGAAGAATTGGTTTCTGGTGCGCCATCTCCCTTTTTCCCTCTCCTCTCCTTCATGCCTTAGAATTTTACTCGATTGTTTATTATTTTCCGGGGGGCGGGGGCGGGGGGCGGAGAGGGGTGTCTGGGGCCTGGAGACTGGTGGCCGCGGCCAGTCAGCGCGCGGCGTGCTTTGACGAGTAAGCGGCGCAGCGAATGGCGACGCGACGGAGAGCTCCGGGGTCACGCGCGTGTGAAGACGATGACATCATCTGTTTGTACGCGTCGAACTAGCTTGGTGCAGGGGCGGGGTCGCGCGTCACTTGAGTGACGGGTGCTGCGCAAAGCCCGGAGCCCGGAGGTAGCGGGACGGGCTGACTCCTGCGTACGCTGGGCTGGATCTTTGTGTATGAGGGTCATTGCAGAGCCCGCTACAGTCTGAGCTATCTCTGGTGACTTATAACTTTTTTTTTTTTAAAGATATTTATGAACTACAGTGTCTATACTTTTGGTGTGCATGTCGCGTGTACTGCATTCGTAGAGTACAAATAAACGATTTGGGGCACGGATCGTAGAATAAGGACTTGGGCAGATGTTTTTCTAAGCCTAAAGGAATCCGTCTTTTCTGAAAAGTAAAAAATGCACACTTAGCGGTTTTGCCGTCCTTTACAAATTAAGACTAAAATTATTTTTCCCTTCTCAATCTGCTCTTGAATGTAGGACGGGGGGGGGGAATTTGCATTTCTTCCGGAGTTAGTTACACCTCTCCCCCGTTTGCTATGAAACCCATGAAAAGTGAAACACGACTGTGGTCCACCGTCTAAGGTGAGAGACTCAGTGTAAACCTTTTGGTGCCTGATCGCATCTGTGAGCACTAGCTTATTGAAGTTGTGCAGGCACCAACATCTTCGCCGTTCAGTATTTCCACGCCGCTGTAACCCTGGCCATCTGCGGTCAGCATCTTATCTCGGGTGTTACCTGGTGTCGGGTTCTAACCGGGAACCGGACACCGTGGTGAGCCCAGAGCCCGGCGAGCGGACGCGCAGGCCGGGGACCCGTGGTGCCAGGCGCCCTGCCTGGAGTCGGGGAGGCCAAGCCGCTGCGTTCCTTGGAGCGTTGGGGGCTTCGCGCTCCTGCCGCTCCCTCTTCTCCCTTCTCTCCGCTCTCGTCGTCTTCTCTCGGGCCAGAGCCGCGCTTTGTTGTCGTTGAGGCTCTCAGGAGGGAGGAGCAGCCCAGCGGGGACGACCGCGGGAGCCCGCCGAGTCCCGGCCCTCGGCGCGCGCCCGGACACCCACGCCCGCAGCCCCGCGGACCCGGGCCGCGCAGGCGTGCGCGAGCGCACACACGCGCACTCACGCACGCCCGCCGCGCGCCCAGCCTGCCGCCCAACCCTCCCCCTGGGCGGGGACCCGCCCGCCGTCAGCTTAGGTTGAGGCGCCCTGCGTGTGTCTATAACTTTGTGCTGCTGCCGCGGCCGCCCTGCTCGTGAAAGGGAGGAGGAGGAATGTGGAAGGCGGCGGCGCGCGAGCTGACAGGCGGTTCCTCGGGCGGGCTGCGGCGACGGCCCGAGCGCTTCTCCTTCGCCGAGGTTGCGCGCCCCCTCCTCGCCGTGCCCCGGGCCCGCGCGGGATCGTGCATCGTCCCGCCGCGTCCCTGAAGGGAAGGAAGCGAGGTAGGCGCCGGAGCCGTGCAGCGGGCGGCCGCCTTCCCGGTGACTCCGGATCTGCTTGCGAGCTGGGCCGGGCGCTTCCCTTTCCCCTCCCTGAGCCGCGGTTTGCGCGCCCCCCGTCTCGCCCGCTAGTGTTTTTAAAGGACTCGAGGGAAGGGGGAAACTGTCAAGATGGCAGCAGCGGGAGCAAGGAGGTGATGAACGTGCTGGTCCGGGTTTTCTGGCAGCCCGGGAGACTTGGCGCTTCCCGACCTGTTGGAAGATTTATGTGCCGACTCGCTCCCTCCCCAGGATCCTGACTGGGAAGGGGGCGGAGGGGACGACGTCCGCGAGAATACCAACCACTCAAAACCCCGAAGTGGCCGTCCCCTCCGGGCTCGACCCTCTGCGAACGCCCGCTGGGGTGCTGCTCCCCCTTCTTTCCGTCTTTATTTTTTGGAAGTGACAAGGGCCCATCTGTCCCCAGACCCGCGTTCGTCCTCCGGCCCGCGGGCGAAGAGGGGAAAGGGAGCTGCCCGCGCAGTCCCCGGGCTCGGGCCACTCGGCTGATTGCGGGGTGACAGGGGGGTCGCGGAGGCGGCAGGGCCGGGAAAGGGGAAAAGAGCCGAAGACCACACAGACTTGAGCGGCGGCGCCGCGGGAGGCACTAGAGCGAGCCGGAGCGAAATATAAACAAACGCACGCACGCCCGAGCTTGGGCTCCGACCGCGGCTCGGCTGCGCCAGCACCGGCCGCTGCCCGCTTTAAAGGCGCGGCCGCCCCTCCCCCGGGTGCCCCTCCCCCTTCTCCCCGCCCCGCCGCCTAGCCCGGGAGGGACCTGCGGCTGGGAGGCGGGGGGAGGGGGCTGCCCCGCGCGAGGCCGTCGATTCGCTCGCAGCTCCCCCGCGGCCTGGCCGGGGGGCGGTGTCTGCTGCGCCAGGTTCGCTGGCCGCACGTCTCCAGGTCCGCCTGTTCCCGGTAGGCGGGCGCGGCGCGGCTGGGAGGCGGCAGCAGCGGGCGAGGACTCGCCGAGGACTGGGCTCCGGCCCGGGCTAACCAACTCTCCTTCTCTCTCCTCTCGTGCTTCCCCAGGAGGCGGCGGCGGCGCCCACGTTCCTTCCCCGCCGCACCCCGCCCCGGCGCGAGAGGAGAGCGCGAGAGCCCCAGCCGCGGGCGGGCGGGCGGTGAAGATGGCAGAGGCACCGGCCTCCCCGGCCCCGCTCTCTCCGCTCGAAGTGGAGCTGGACCCGGAGTTCGAGCCCCAGAGCCGGCCGCGTTCCTGTACGTGGCCCCTGCAAAGGCCGGAGCTCCAAGCGAGCCCCGCTAAGCCCTCGGGGGAGACGGCTGCCGACTCCATGATCCCCGAGGAGGAGGACGATGAAGACGAGGAGGACGGCGGGGGCCGGGCCAGCTCGGCCATGGCGATCGGCGGTGGCGGGAGCGGCACCCTGGGCTCCGGGCTGCTCCTTGAGGACTCGGCCCGGCTGCTGGCACCGGGAGGGCAAGACCCCGGGTCTGGGCCAGCCCCCGCGGCGGGCGCGCTGAGCGGGGGTACGCAGGCACCGCTGCAGCCT